AATCCGGCAGCATACACGAATCTTAAGTGGTTTAAATAAACCTGAATTCATATATATCTCACTATGCATCTACATCTATTCACTTCAAATCTATTACATTTGAAGTGAATAGATTTGTTTGTGCTTATCTCTCTAAAATCACCAGTCAGATTTGAAAATAAAATAAAATCAAATCAAATTAATTTTATTTGGCACAATATAAAATAATAACATTTATCAAGCGATGCGCGTCCCACAGTTAGAATTAAAATCGTTTTGATAGTCTGATTTCTATAGTATTAATTAATACTATAAGCATGAATAGAACTTCAGGGGCCAAGAAAATGCGGTTGAATAGCGGAATAGAACCATAGAAATATTTTTAATATGTATGGAAAAACAAATCGACTCCTGACCTTCTTTGACATTTCATTAACAATTGGTTTCTCTGTGGTTACAAAAAACATGCTGTTTTCTTTTGTAATAAATTGTTTCTTCTTTATTTTAATTGTATAGTTTAACCTGTATCGTTTCCTTGTCACTGGTTTAATTAAAACTATTTCATACCTTTTTATACCGGTACAGAAATTACATTTTATGATTGGTAAAAAAATAAAAGATAACTTTCACATAATATCTCTTTCTGTAACAAAACTTCACCAAAAAATTTTATATTGCTTGATAGATATCAAATACAATTTTATAAATTGTATGAAGAAATAAAACTAAAAAATTATTCATTATGTATTTTATTTTGAATATTTAGCTTTTTTTTAAGTATATCAAGGTTATATGAAATGATGAAAGATTTATTTTTCTAATATTATCTACTTTATAATTAAATATAAATAACAAATCTATTATTAGTATTTTGTTACAGTGATATCGTCGTAGAACATAATAACTGTGTACACATACACAAGCTAGATCGAAAGTACAATTGACGCGTACATGACTGTTTGCACAGCTTGTCTAGGGCGTAGCGTAATTTAGGTAATGGATTGTTGTAATAAACTCTCGTAGATAAGAGAGATCGCTATGATAAATACTAGGTACTCGTGTAACTTCACAGGCTTACCAGCGACAACGTCTCAGCGGAGACGCAGCTTAATTAATGGTGGTCAGGGTTATGAAGGCGGGCGGGGCCCATTAGTTGGGCAAACACCGTGGCCTCACGCCAGTTCGCAATTTACTTGTACCTCGTTCACTGGATTGAACTATCTACCGGTTACTGCGATTTATTTAAACAATATGTAGGTATCAACTTTAAATCCTTACAAAAGATTGAAAACCAATTTTATGTCATCGATCTCCGGTAATCGACACATTGACATCACTATGATGTTTTTGATCTGATTATGATGCAATTGAAGTAAATATTATTTTAATCATCAACTAAGAAATAATAAAAATGATACATCTATAGAGAAATAGAAAATTGCATTACACTCAACCTAAGAACTGAAAATCTATCATTTCAAGGATTGAATAGTATACAATACAATAAAATAGTAATATTTCTTTACATTGTAGATATTATATCTTATTATTTGTGAATTTGGGATTTATATGGAGATTTAAAGCTCACATTAGATTTGGATAGGTATAATACTACAATACTTGAGCTTTGGTGACAGAATTTTAATTCAGTAACTTTACTGAAGCGAGAAGCCTTGTATCACGTGTACAAAATTATATGACCTATGCTATTAGAGCTGTTAATGGAGGAACGTGGCAGGTAATGTTCCAAATTGTTAGATTTATGGTCCATACGGCAAACGAGGTCAGTCAGCAAAACTTTTGCGGGTTCAACACGCATTTGCACTCAATTCTTTTTCTGATAGATCGTCTGACGCAGTATGAAGAGTTTATGTGGTAAAATATGTACGAATTTTAACGAAGGCAGACTTATGAACTATGCTTTAGCCAGACGTCATGTGAGTCAACGTCCGAGTTCTAATTATAAAATGTGTAGTAGGTAGGTATTCACATTAAAATGTGCGACAACGGAACATTTTTGTTTTAGTGAAACTTGTAATTGGCATGTTTAATATGATATTCAACAAGTTATTCGAGCGAAGAACTAACGATAGCAAAATTTAATTTCTTTCAACTTTTTTGTTTTTAATGTAAACAACGGCACGACAAATATTCATTAAGGAAATGTCTACTTTAAAAAGATTCAATAATTTACCCGTGTAATTTCATTTCTCATGATCGTTTATAGCTCAGTTTTATGCAAAATTACTAGGAGAATATTTTAAAGATCACATTATAAAACGGGTTCTTAAACTTGTAGATCCTCAACTTTACGCAGCTGGTTTCCATCGCTTTTATGGAATACTATGAATAATACAGGTCAATAATTATGTAATAAGCGACATGATACTAAATTAACACTTCAACAAGAATGAGAAAATATGGATGTATGTTTCGCTCGTTTATATTGAAATGGGTCATTAGATATGAATGAATTTTAGAATTTATCTAGAGTACTTAAATAATAATTTATAATATACCCATGTCCCGTTAAAGTTTTCTTAAATTGTCATTGTGTGATCGTCCAATTGTATGCTATTTATTATGATGATTTTCCATCCAATGCTTGGAAGAAATGGCTAGCTCGCGCGATGGCCGCTTATCGTTCATTATTTGTGTAAAATATTATAATAAAGACTACTTACTTCAGAGATTAGAAGTAAAATAATTCACGTCCAATCAATCTCCATTAGAGAGATATTATATTGCAATTATTACAAATTTGGTAAGAAGTAAGATAGGCCAGTATGTCGGTTAACGGGTTTATAGTACTTCCACAATTCGCTAGGACGCGCCCAGAATGAAGCGGCGCGCCCAGCGGGAGGATACATTACGCTCCTTCCCGCAATGCGACGTCAATACTATACCTGCCATATCATATGATAACAGGAGTGTCAAAGGATTCCATATTTGTTTATCAATGGGACTAAGCTAATAAACCTGATATGAAATAAGCATCATTATGAGATTACTCGCACACAGTGGTTTTGCAAAGAGAATTTACTTTTTTGCGTACTTGTTTCGCTAAATATGCCTTTTCGTCTACTCTACTCCTAACGGAGATTATAAGCATACAAATAGTGAATGAAACCATTCTTAAATGTACTTTTTTTTATAAATAACTGAGTGACTATTCATATACCTATCCTTTTCACAGTAAGGATATCTCACTTATTTGCCGTGGTGGTGTCAGTCGTGGTGCGTGTGCATTAAAAAACTGGTCAAGTGAACGTTTTCATGATTATATATTAAATATAATACATGTATATATATATATATATATATATACTTCGAAAAAGATTGACAGTAAAAATAGTTTAGAAACATTATGTAAAGTACCCAGATCTTTTATATATTTCTAAAGAGAATTTAATAAAGAAAAAATAAACTACTGGACTCCTTTTTTTAAAGAATGTTTCGTCTCTTTCTCCTACCGAAGCTACATCATACGCGAGGGCGAGTTATATAGGCTATAATTTACGCGGGTGATATTGCAGGAACACGGCTAGTTATTGTATAAAAATATAGCTGTTTACGGAATAGTTCTAACTACAAATTTTAACTGTGTAATTGTAAAAGTTTCGGAATAAAGTATCTGCGCTATACAGACAGAGAGGCAGACATGTAAATTTTTTCAGGGTTCCGTTTTTTGCCATTCGTCTACGAAACCTAAGAAACGGGTCAACTGATTTTTGTTTTGAACTATTATTACTGTAGCAGTTTTAAAGCAGCCAAAACCAACGGAACAAATGAATCAATGACGCAAGATTTATTTTGGCAGTAATAACACGACCTGACTGCATAATTTTATAATAGCAAATCCTACCTACGCCGCAGCTAACGTAGTCAGTAACCATTTACGTGACGTATATGATTTTATGTTAGCATTTCTTTTATGAATAATACAGATGCTATATTACGGAAAAGATCAAGTACAATCACTGTCATTTAAAATGAAAATTATTCCCACCTACTCGAAATTAAATTTAATTAACACCACTTATTCCTTACCACAATCATTTTAAATGATAATGTTTTATCTTGGTATAAAACGTTTTTTAGTCTAGACAGTGTTTTACAACCTATGGCCTGCTGACCCCTAGGGGCCCGCGAGTATGATATGTAAATAGGTCGATATTAGCACGCCTAATATGCGCTAACGGTATCCTCAAATATCAGTGATTTAGTAGCCCAAAAATTAGTAAACATATTTAGAGAATGCCCCCATGGCATTAAGTCCGCCATTGGTACATTTTAATTTGTGCAATAAAGCTTAAATAAATAAATAAATTTTAAAAAATTAGGACCTTTTTTGTTACTGGGGGGCCTTAGAATCAAGCTTAATTTCCTAAGTGTCAGTGAAACATAAAAGCTTATGAAACACTGGGTTAGGGTACTCAAAGACTTGTTGTTGTCATCAAACATCTCAAAACAAATTGTATATCAAGAAATAATTACACAAAAATATGTTAAACATATTTATTATGTATACAGTAATACCCACACTTACGTTACCCCGTTTTACGCAAATTCGGAGATACGCGGTTTTCACGGAACGTATCGGGGTGTTCGGTTTAGGACAAATTCGAACGTGTCCACGTTTAACGTACGCAGCGCACATTCGGTTTATGAGTTACGAAAATTTCGGACGTGTTCCTCATCGAGTTATATTCAGTGTACATTATTGATATATCTTTATTAAGCCATCCGAATGACCAAACTGTGATGGATATTGCCAAACGATTAAATTTAGAGGTGGTCGTTGATGACGTCCAAGAATTGCTGGATTCAGACAATAAAAAATTAATACATAAAAGTGAAGGTTTCAAACCAAACAGAAGACTTTAGTACAATTGAACAGAGTTTACAAACGAATAGACAAAATAGATTCCAATTTAGAGCTTGTTTCTACAAAATTATTTTTGTTCAGACCTATTTCTCTTTAAATGTATTTACTTTCATTCAAATATAAAAGAACTTACTTAACAGCAGACCTGCTGGCAGTACCACACGAAACAATAATGCTGCAATGTAGTATTTCGCCATTTTTATCTAAAAAACAGAAAAAAAACATAAATGCATATGCAATAATAAATGTCATAATTTTAAATTCTTATTTATATTAGTTGAAATATTTGGCAGAGTTGAAGCAATAATATTTTATTATTAAACATAAACAATACCAAGTATTGGCATGTATACAAAATTTTAAATTAATTTTTATGTATAAAATAAATATATCCATGACTATTATTTACATTACAATGATGTTTAAATGGATATCTTATTATTTACTATTTATCTTTATTATTTTTGCTAATCAAAAGTAGTGGATAAGTTTAAGTTTTAAGCATAATTTAATTTCAGTATTACCTGCAAATAAGAACATTCGTAATTTAGGATATATTAATTGGAATGTAAAAATAAAAGTGACTAAAACATTATTAAGAATAGAGTAGACCAGGAATTTTAAAAGTATTTGATATCAAACCTTAGGGATAAAAATCAAAAAATTACCTCTATTATCACATGTCATTAGTTAAAACTTTCAAGATGCTGTATGTTGATATACAAATCAGCTTATTATTAGAATTACTAGTATTTTATTTGGAATGTTTATGTAATTTATGTCAATGATTATTAATCTAATCTATCTATCTAAATATATGTAACTCAAAGTGTCAGTCAGTCTGACATAGTGATCTATCAACGCACAGCCCAAACCACTGGACGGTTCAGGCTGAAATTTGGCTTGCAGGTAGATTTTATGTCGTAGGCATCTGCTAAGAAAAGAATTTTGATCAATTCTAAGGGGATAAAATAGAGGATGAAAGTTTGTATGAAATTTTGTCAATTTTAAACCAATCGGACTGAGACTGTGCATGCGTAAAGCTACTATGACGTAGGCATCTCCTAAAAAAATAATTTGATCAATCCTTCCCCCCTTGGGATAAAATAGGGGATGAAACTTTATTTCTGGTATTTTACATGATGTAATGAATAAATATTTGTGAGAAAATTTTACATGATATAATGAATAAAGTTTATTGTGTGAGAAATGCTGCTCAAAAATAACTTTACCACGCGAACGAAGTCGCGGGATAAAGCTAGTTATACATTATATATACAGAATTTCATGTCATTATTTTTATTAAATATTGATGATAATATAAGTTTATTCAATCAACAACCTGTAAAGTTTTAAATGGGAAAGTAGTTTTTATCTTTAGGGCAAAACTTGTTGTTGATATAATTTGGACATCAGAAATTTTTAAATATGAAAAAGTTTTTTAATATTGGTTTATACTTTCATCGTGAAGTTAACACGAGAACAGCAAAAGCGAAGAATGTTCGTATTTTTATAGGTATTTATAGAAATACTTCATGCTAATGAGCGTCCTTCCAGCGATGTTTCCGTAAATAATAATAAAAATTATTAATATGAGTAAGATTATTGCAAAATTTAACGAAAATAAGTACGTCGTATATTTGAAACCACACAAACATTTCTATTACCTTTTAATATTATAATTACGTCACTTCATTTGCACACAACCACTTTAAAATAATATACATAATTCGTTCGTTGTAAAGAAAATAAATAAATATATTTATCTAACATTTTACGACATACTTTTCAGAAAACAAAAACACAACACATCCACCGCACTTCCAATCCGAAATGACATTTAAATAAGATATGACATATTGACATTGACAGCTGACAACAAGCGGTTTTCTGGTGATATTTTTTTTTTTTTAATTTTTTCACCCATTTCAGGGTAGGCAAAGGACTTTTATCCATACAGCCACGTCATATTTTAAGTCTTTTGATTTTCTTTTAGGTGCAGGCTAACGCCAAGTCTTAAGTTAAATATCTTTGAGGGTTGAGGATATGTATGTATATAATGCTGAATATGTATCAGTTTTCTTCAGAAGTTCTTGTGTAGAGCGCGGGACATTTTCCGGATTCTTATATATTTGCAAAAGTTGATCTGCTAGAGCAAGGCGTTGTATGTTGAACGACGAACAATCAAAGATAATATGATCCAAAGTCTGATCAGCGATATTGCATTGATTACAAGTTGGGGAGTCAATAATATGCATACGATGGAGGTGAGCATTAAACCGAGCATGTCCCAATCTAAGTCTTGAAATAGTAGTGAAAAATGTTCTGCTTCTTGCTGTGTAATTTACAAACCAGGGCTTTTTTCCAATTGAACTATTGATTTCAGCGTACCATGTACCTTTTCTTGATAGAGTAATATGCCAGTCTATATTCCATTGCTGCAATAACTTATTTTTTAGAATAGGAATAATATCAGTAAATGGGATGGCAACATCGTTATCAGGGCTGCCGCTGTCACTGATAGCGGTAGTTCTCGCTAAATAATCTGCGTTTTCGTTTCCTTTAACGCCGATGTGAGATGGTGTCCAGATAAAAATCGTTTCAAAACCTTGTTGAGTTAACTGCAACCATAAGTGTTTTATTTCATGTATTAGATAGTTTGTATCGGCAGATAATTTGTTATTTCCCAAGCTTTCTAGAACACTCATGCTGTCTGATACTATAAGCCAGCGAAAATACTGTTCTTTAGATATATATTTTAGTGCAATGTAAATTGCGTAACACTCTGCTGTAAACACACTCATTTCTGAAGGAAGCTTTCTTCCTCTGCCACAATTGATGTAAGGTATGTAGATTGCCCATGCTGTACTTGTGTCGTTCTTGGAACCATCAGTATATATAGATCTATAAGCTGGGTATTGAGTCAATATATTATAAACCTCACTTTTATGTTGCAATTTTCTATCTATTATGATGTGCATATTTGTAAATTTACTCCAGTACTCATGGTCATAACAAACCCAGTGGTAATCATTTCTAAATATGTTATATGTACTCATTTCTAATATAAATGAAAAGTCGTGAAGAATAAATGGAACTGTAGAGGTTGAGGAATAAGGAAATGTGTTATGAAAGGTAATAAGTTTCTTTATCAAAGCATTATGCTTAATGCATAACAATTTTAGAAGAAATTTATGTTTCAAATAGTTAAACCTTATCTGTAAAGGTGGAATATTGCATTCTATTTGTAATGAATTAATAGGAGTGGTTTTCATGGCTCCTAACACTAATCTCAAATTACGATTCTGTAAAATGTCTATTTTTTCAACTAATCTCCTATTAGACCCAAAACACATAAATCCATACTCAAAATGGCTACGTACTAAGGATTTATAAAGAATTAAAAGTATTTTTGGATCAGAACCCCAGTGTGTTCCTGCCAGACATCTTAGAATGTTGTAGGCCCTGGAAGCCTTAGAAATAACTTCATTAACATAAGTATTCCAAGACAAATTAGATGTAAAAATTATACCTAAAAATTTGGCTTTATTCACTATAGGGAGCTTAGTTTGATTATAGTAAATATCTACATGAAATGGTCTTATTTTGTTGAATACTACAACTTTAGATTTACTAACATTAATATCTAGTCCAAGGTGATGAAAATAATTATGTAACAGATCTAAGGCACTATTTATATTTATAATAACTGATTTTACATCTGAACCTGACATATATACTACTAAGTCATCTGCAAATTGCAAATTACTCACTTGTGGTCCTAATATTAAATTCAATTTTCTAATATACAATATAAAAATAAGAGGACTTAAAATTCCCCCTTGAGCTACTCCCTTATGTGAAAATCTAGGCCCAAATAATTTATTATTATATTTTACAAAAACTTGTCTGCTATGTGAGAAATCAAATATCCATTTAACAATTTTTTCTGGCAGTCCGATGGTCAGTAACTCATTTGCAAGTACATGATGATTTACACTATTAAAAGCACAGGAAATATCAAAAAATACACTAATCAAAACTTGTTTGTTCTTAATGGCATTAAAGATATCAAAATTTAAATGTGATATGCTTTCTCTAGCTGATCGGCCCCTACGGAAACCAAACTGATTAGCGGGCAATATACCATTGCTTTCTATGTAGTATTCCAGCCTTTGTTTGATTAGTTGTTCAAATATTTTGGCCATACAAGATGTGAGGGCAATAGGTCTGTAAGAATCTACTTGAAACTTATCTTTATTAGGCTTTAAGGCAGGTATCAAACAATCAATTTTCCACTCAGGTGGAATTGTGTTGGATGCCCACAGTAAATTATACACTTTCAATACAATTTTTTTAGAACAGTCTGTCATTTTTTTCAGAATTTTGTAAGGAATACCATCAAGTCCAAAAGCAGTGTCATGCCTGGATAATATAGCAGTTGCAAATTCTTGTAATGAAAAAGGTGCAGTCAAGTAATTCAAATTATTGAGAACACTAGATCTGTGGTTAAATTGTAAAGGTGCTTCTACAGTATCAGGTGTGTATTTCTCCAAAAAATTAGGAACCCAATTATCAATATGACTAGGGGGTGACACAGGGGTCTTATTAAACCTTTTCATAATAGTCCATATTCTTGAAAGTGGTGTGGTTCTATTAAAGCTTTCACATAATCTTGTCCAACTGGATTGTCTTTCTTTTTTAATAATTAATTTTTTGAGAGCTTGCTGTTTCTTAAATTCTATATAATTGTTTTCTGAAGGGTCATTTTTAAATTGAATGTAAGCTTTTTTTGAACTTTCTACTGCAGAAGAGCATTTATCATTCCACCATGGAAGAGGTATTCTTAACTTACGTGGCTTATGAGAACTTGTCGGTGATGTGTGTAGTTGATTTTTCATGGGCATGGATTGATCGACTGCTAACAGTAACAGTCGGCTAAGATTTGCATATGTTCCTGATGGATCATTATCATTTATTTCAAAATCATTTAAAAGCATCTCTACATTACTAATATACTTTTCCCAGTTTATCTTGCGATAGTTCTGTTGATAAGGTGTATTAGGTGGATTTAATACATTTGGTTGACTATAACTGATATTGATTTTTGTTATTACAGGTAAATGAAAACTACCCAAAGGGTCATCATGAACACTCCATTCACATTGTAAAGCCAAACTTGGAGATACTATGGTTAAATCAAGAGCATTGCGACGCCAAACATGCGAACCAACTGTGGTATACTGACCATCGTTCAATAAAACAAAATTATTATCCTGGATACAGCTAATTAAATCATTGCCACGAGAATTACACTGATCACATCCCCAAGTCGTGTGTAGGGCATTGAAATCGCCCGCAATAAAAGCAGGATGTGGAAGTGATTTGAACAAATTTTCTAATTTATTTTTTGTTAATGGCGGGTTACTATTAAGAGGACTATAAAAACTAACAATCGTAATTTCTTTGTCAATTGCATACTGAAGACGTATAACAAGGTTTTGGAGGGAGTTATCATAATAAGAAGATATGTTTTTAAACTTTAAGGTATTATGAATAAGTATAGCTACACCATTGTGATCATTACCACAATCAAGTCTGATAATACTATAATTTTTAAATGTAATGTATTGTGTAGGTTTAAGCCAGGTTTCACAAATAATGGCTATGTGTACTTGATTTCCATGTAAGAAGTGAGATAAAAGATGTCTATGACTAAATAAACTCTGGGCATTCCATTGTACAACATTCAAAGTATCCATAAGGGGTACAAACTAAATCTTTTTATTTTTCATTGTTTCAATAAGTACTTCTTTTATGTTTTGGGTACTAATAGATTTGTCATTGCTTTTATTAAAGCTTATCAATTTTATAAGTGATTCTACTAAAATGTTAAGGATAACATCAGAATTCAATATATTGCTGAAATCAGATTGAGTGATTATATCTTTAATTAGGGGAGGGAAAGACTTTTCATTAATAGTTGTAGTAACATTTGCATATGTTCTAGTCTGAAATTTATTTCTGTTTTCTTCTATTTTTTGTTTTTTAATTGGGCATTCTATTGAGATAGCTATATGATTTCCTTTACAGTTACCACAGATAGCATCTTTAGAGGACTTATGACATTCTTTATAATTATGAGATTCACTGCATATAGAACATCGAGTCGAGTTTTTACAAAATTTAGCAATATGTCCATACCTTAAACATTTAAGACATTGTTTGACTGGGGGTATATATGGCCTTACTTCGAATCTCCAGCTGTTCAGGTCCACGCTGTCAGGTAAAGTTGGACAGGAAAAAGTAATTGATACTGTCTTTGTTGGCTGCAATAACATATGTCCATTGGTATTAGTTTTTCTCATAAAACGTCTGATACTTATAATATTTTTAGTAGAAGTAAGAGCAGAGTAAATTTGTGCATTAGATAACTCAGTTGGTACATGCATTATAACTCCTGTGACTTCAGTTGCGGCAGCTGGGATACTAGCTTTAAGTTTGTTTGCTTTTAAAAAGCTACTATTGTTTAAAGCTGCATTAGCAAGCCCTGGCCTTTCAAAAATGACACCAATCTTGTATTTGTTAATTCTTTTCAGTTGTTTAATACCTTTATTATGTTTTTTAAGTAAGTTTGCAAGGATCATCATGTCCCTGGTCCCGAGCGGCATATCAGGTTCGACACTCTCCAGGAACACAATATACTCGAAATACGAGCCGTCTTCAGGATACTGTCTTACATAGTTACTTACGCGGTAGGTAACATACTTATCCTGCTCTACCTCCATGATGGAACTAGCATCAGAACTTTCAGTGTCCTCCTCATCCTCACCCTCAATTTTTTTCTTGCGCTTTTTCGCCGACTTCCCCATGGTTTTTGCAAAACTATTGAATACTGCTTATTATTAGATGTTTTTATGTTAGTCTAATTAAATATAATATGAAAATCGTGTTGTTTTATTTAATTGAAACAATTAATTTAAAAAAGGCGCCTATACTTTTCAAAGTTTCCCGCGCGAATCTTTTTTTTTTTTTTCTGGTGATAGATTTGACAGGAATACAAACGCAGTGTTACCACTGAATAATACCTCACAATCCTAATTCACTTTAAAGTTGTTTTGAATAAGTATATACAGTAAAACAACTAATATGGCTCACCTATGTGCTTACACCAAAGACTGAATTTCAAACTTTGGCAAATCTTGCCTGACAAATCAGAAAGACTCAAGTAGGTGCTCTCAACGAATACTGACTCAAAAAGGCAACAATACAAAAATACAAAGCAGTTTAGCTAATTTTTTTACTTGTTCTTCCCAGAACATAAACAAAGCCTTCGCTATAGTTTTACGAAACGATTTTGTATATCTTCGAACGAATAAGTTTGTAGTTCAAAAAACCATATCTATTATTTGAGAAAAAACATCTTTTAACTTCATATGTAAAATACCATCGCATTCACAGTTCCACGAGCTGATAATAAATATTATTTTTTTATTATCAGCTTAACCTCAAAATCGATTATATTGAACAGAAATTATTTTACTACTTTGAATAGAACATCAAAGCATTTTTTTTACCAAATAAAACATTTTGTTTGCTTTACCATATCACCACCATATCGCTGAATCTACCATATCGGCTTATATTTTTTTAAATAGCTACACTTTTAGCGTTGTACTATGAAAATCGGTATTTATAAAAGTTTAAAATACAGATAGTGCATTCGATAGCGAATATTTCGATTTACTGACCTCACTAGTAAAATTTTATTTTTATTGCGAATTAATGGCGTAGCCAGGTGAGTTTTCTTGTTTATTTCTTATTTCATTGTGTTCTAACGTTTTCATTTGTTTTGTCTAAATGTTTTCGATGAGCAAAATATTCAATATTCTAAACGTCAAAATTTCTCCACCTAAACTATTTTTATTACACGAAAAAGCAATATTACGAGTAATGAACACGTATTGGATTTGTTCTGAATTTATTCGCTAGGATCATTGTCATCACTTTCACTTTTACACGATTTGCTATAATAGTGTTTTTAGTGTACATACACCACATTGTGGGGCGCAGTTGCAATGGATGAGTGAGTTTGGCGATATTTCTCTTGTGCTATACAGTTTCATCGTAAATAATTATGACAAGGTTACTCATATCCCCTAAAAAAAATGTGACTGATTATTCATTACTACGAAACTATATCCTTTGTAAGTTGTAAGTACAAAACTGTTTTAATGTTTATCTGTGCAGCACCATGTCGACCTTAACGAAAATGACCCGTACGGTTAAAAAACTGGAGGTACCCAGACCCCTGAAATCGACGACCAGTTCCGCACACAACCGCAATTCCCTGCTGGACGTCAAAATAAATTCAGGTATGTATATTGAAATTTTAAAACTTAATGTACACATAAAATTTATTTTTTAAATAATAAATCTATTCTTATCAGAATCTGTTTAATGTCTTATTGGATTATTATGTTTTTCTTATTTAATAACTCTTAATGCAAAAAGCAAAATTTTCAAGATTCTAGATTATTTTTGTCTTTCTTAATACCTTCTAAACTTATGTTAGAATAAAAATATGCTCTACTTGTTTTGAAGCAAATTAACTGAACAATGTGATCGACATTCCAGCAGTCAGATACTAGACTGATCCTAAATGGTTTCACTTTTCCAAAATTCTTAAAAATAAAATTGTTTAGCTTTTACAATTAAGCTCATTTCACTATGAAAAAGTTCTAGTTTTTATTACAAGTTTATCATCTTTGAATTATTTTCATATCCTTTTCCTCAGTTACACTTAGTTTTTACAAATTTTGCTGTGTTTAGCAGTGTGTTATGCTACTAAAAAAATAAATTCCAGCTTGGATTTTAGTGTAAAGGGTTCTTAGTATAAGTGGGTTGACCTATTCAATTCAGTCATTTGATTAACTCAAATTGAATGTGCAGACTCAATTGAGTGTAAAGTGTCCCTGACAAAATATAAAAATATATGAAATATAGTTTCAGAGAAAAGGAGTTGCCATTGTTTTTTAATTAAAATTAATGCAAATACAAATAAAAAATAAAGCTAATAAAATTCATACAGTGTATATAAAGTTTATAGCATTCTTTAGTCATTAGAAAGCAAAATATGTGATCCTGTTTGATTAGATGACTCAAATGTTGTCTTAAGTAATATATTTGACAGAATGCTTTATTTGTTAAAGTTATTATTTATTAAAACAAAATTACTAATCTGAATTGCAGCAAGCACATAGGGTTTCACGTGAAAATATAAGTAATTTTGAAGGTCAGTCTATAATTAGATGTACGTTGTATTAAAAAAATGCATACCAAAAGAAACATACAAAAATGTTTTTTTTTAAAGTTCAAGAAATTTCAGAAATATTAAAACAAATTTAATATCATATCAAGTGCTTAAATACAAAGTTTTATAATTTTATTATCTTTGTCAATCACAAACATCCATAATGTCATCCCCCATTTCAACCCCCTTTTTTGTGATGAAAGGTAGTCTATGGTCTTTACCAAGCTTAACTCATCTCTGTACCTAAATTCATTAAAATTGATTTAGAAGTGTAATGGACAGTTATTTTTGTTATTATTAGTAGGTTTAGTTTCTGTAAATAAAACATTAAGCAGAAATGTTGTCTTCCTCCATATTCATAGGAATTGTGAAAAATGTTTCACAATGAGAAATATCTTATTTACACACTAGATGAACCAGTATACCTTGTACCACCTCCTATATACATGATATATACATTTCAGAACCAAAATCAGTCCAGTCCTACCAAAGTTTTAGTGAGAGAAACCAATATTAATTAATTTTTATTATATAGATGTGTGTGATATTTCAGTCGATGACCTGATTGTGTTGACGGAAGCGGTTGCCTACCAAATGATGCAGGGGAACTATGACCGTGCCCTTCAAAGCAACGTGGCCACTATGTACTCTAACTTGAAGCTTTACGGCGCTCAACTTGAGGCACTCTATAAAGACTTTCTTGATAGGTCTGTAGAAATAACTTAAATAAAAAAAACAAGTCTGTATTTTTTGTTTGTTTAATTTATTCTTTATGTTCAGATACTTTGTCGTGTTCCGCAATGGTTCCCAAGACGAGAGATTGGACAAAAAAACTCGACTTCATCTTCTTGAGCTTATTGAGTTGCGCGCTAAACTCTGGCAGGGCTCAGATTACATGAGCCAATATTATAGGCATCGAGGCACTCATGCTGAGGTAAATATCATAATAACAACATTATACAAATCAAGTTTGAATGTGGATAACATAGACAATATTGTCCACATGCCAAACTCAATCTGTTCATCCAGCCCGATCCGAATTTAGCAACACATTCACATTTATAATGGTCTTCTATTTTGAAAGTCAGTCTATAACTTGTGAACATACATAAAAAAATGAAATGATTAATTATTATCTGTTGGTGATTCACTTAATTACGTTATGACTGCATGCAGACTGAGGTTAATAATATTGTTATAGCCACTATTGGTGCCGACGATGGAGGGGTCGGGCACGGGCGGCTCGGTGTCCCCCACGCTGGCTGCGCCCGCTGAGCCGCCCACCCTGCTCGGCCCCGGCGAGGTGATCAAGCCTTCGGGCAAATTCCCCAAACCGACCAAGATCCCTGGCAAGAATTACTCTAAGGATGAAGTGGTCATAAGGAACGCTGATTCTGGAAAAGGTTTGTACATTTAGCCTAAATTGATTTATTTTTAAACTATGACATTCTAGAATTTATTAATTGGGTACTTTGCATGTTTTTTTTTCGATTTAAAAGTGTTTGATAACTAAATGGGAAAGCTGCATGTATAAGCAAATTATACGCTTATCTATTTATTGACTTTGTCTCTGTAGACACGGTTTATTTATTTGCATGTTCCATATGACGAAGATAAGAGGAAACTTATCTTCGGGATCTCAATTGTAAGTCTTACTATATTCACGTGTTAATCACGGTACGATAACGGCTCGCGAGTATTCGCCTGCGTGTGTAATTACCCAATTGTATACTTGATGCGTGATAGGGTCGATTTATACATAATTAATATTACTGTATTGTTTCTCGATAATGCACTCCCAAAATCGAGTAAATAAATTATTTCAACTGAACTTATTTTACACAATAGTATTTATAGAAAACCGTAATGAATTATTGTGGAACTAAACTTTATTATTTATCATGGGATACTGTTATTGATGTCATGGACGTTAGCGGCATCTGAAGTTGTGTTATGGTGTTACAGTGATGGGTATCAAGGGCAGGAGGGTGCACATGATCGAGGAACTAAGTGATACGATTATATCGTTTCAGCGAGGTACGAACGCACGGTGCGGGCTGAATTACGCTAGCGCATGGTGTGCGGAACTGTACTATCATACTGAACGCTCTTCTGTCATAACCTTCATATTCCATCACAACATTAACTATTAAGATTTATCCTTTTGAATCTAATATCTAAATACATTGATCATTCATGTAACAACTAAAAATAACTGATAACTATATGTAATTTATGATTAATATATAGTTATATGAACCTAACTAACTGAAATATTAAAATAAGAAAATTAACACACTGCCTGTTAGACGCATTTGGCTTCGAGCTTCTTATCAACCCATAACTTACTAACAATTCAAATTGAATGCATTACACAGTGACAGATCTAATTAATATCTTTGAAATTACAGTGAGCCCAGGTGCCAAAGAACGTCTGGTTCAAATCACAGGACCTAATGAAGAGAATGTGAAGTAAGTAAAACTAATTGGTTAAAAACTTTATAATATCTCTCTACTTATTGATTGCTTGTTCTAAGCTCAAGTTGAAAATGTTGAATGTAATTCTGTGATAGTTTCTGACTTCCATATTCAACTTTGGCAACTTCTAGGTTTTCTCTATAAGTCTGACATTATGGTGTTAATAAAAATCAAACTTAAATCTTTATACGCAATACTCTCCTTTCGTATATCCTAATTTAATGTAATATATTTAGTCTAGGCCATAAGGAATATTTGTTATTGAAAACCGGTAAAAAGCTCTGGCAATTGCGGATTTCATTCTAAAATTTTCGTTTAAATGATTCTAAATTCTTAAGTTATTTTATTTCTCCAAATTGCCATAAGACACGTCATCTGCCCGACAATTTATAATACCACTATCTAAATACGACCCGTAACTCGGTCTTATTTAGATAATGGTATTATAAATTGTCTTAGTTATTCAAGCCCTTAAGCGTAATTTATTACGTAAGAATTTTGTCTATTTTGAGCCCCCAGTTTGATAATTATTACTCGACAATCTATAATATATATATATAATGAGCAATAAAAATGTAAGATTCTTGAACTAGTACTTAAATCTTAGGTTTTTATGAGACGCCTCGTTTCCCTTGTAAGAAGAACTAGAAAATGTTCCCCCCTTCTATGTCATCTACCGTAATAAATGTATAGCGGCTTGGATATCGAACTGTAATTGTTATAGTCACGCGAAGCACCTGATCGGCGATACGATCCGTCGCAACGCGTCGCCAGTGAGACTGGAGGGCGGCAACGAGGCGGCTCTAGGAGCGTCCCGCGCCTCGCTAGACTCTAACGGATCTGACGACGCGCCGCGCCCGCGCGAGGTAATCCCCGCAAATTGCTAATGCGCCTGGCTGCCATTTTGGTGACGTAATTGCGTTCAACAATCAGTACCGTCAACAAATAAATACTGATTCACAAGTGAACTTATTGAGGTTGGATCTGTTTTGCTGGTAAAGTCCTATTAGTCAAAGCGTTAAGGTAATAGCCTATAGCCTTCCTCAAAACATGGACTATTCAACACAATATAAGTTTAAATTTATTTACTAGCTGTTTTCCCACGTAAATAATCATAATAATTATAGCCATTTATTCTTTCAACACAAAATCCTCTATATGAGACTTAAGATAGCTAATTACATTTTCTATCTTAATTTTGTGAGAGATTGGAGCCTGACATTGATTTCATAAAAAAACTGTTTGGCAGGTAACTGCAGTTAAAATATAAAGTAAATAGTAATGTAATAATCTAAATCAAATGCTATGGCTTATAGTATGTGGCACGTGTGTATGATGTAGTTTCCCATGATGATGAAATTTCACGATCGAATCAGTATTTCCGAAGTTTACCCTCTACAAACAAACAAACCAACAAAGTAAGAAAGTAGATAGTAGATCTCTATAATATTTCTGTAGAATGCTTCTTTATTTATTTATTAGCTGTTTTCTAGCGACTTTGCCTGAGTAAATTAGTCTATACCACCCGCGTATGACGTAGCTTCTGGTAGGCGAATGAATTTCATGATCTAATCAATATTTCCGAAGATTACCAACCTCCACAAACAAACAGAACTCCGACAATTTTTCAATAATATGAAAATAAAAATTCTTTGACAGGAAAATTAAAAAAAATATTATAACAAACATAAGTGACAATAGCTGATGTATTTACAAAGTGTCGTCTATGTTCAACAACGTTACTTCGTTTACGCTGAGTACTAGTTCAATTATATTGTTATTTCAGAAGTCACCTCACAATTCCCGAGCTCTGCTCCATAGCTTTTCTACGAACGACGCCGCACTAGGAGAATATAAATATACTGTGACTTTTGGACAACATTCCATTAAGATCACGGGCAATAACTTGGATCTTGTGAAGGTAAATATTACTCTTAATTTTGTTTATCTTACAATTTGGGGATAGGAGAACTTTAACCGCTAAATAAATGAATATATAAATGGACAGATAAACCACAAACTTCTCGTATTACACATACTAGTCAAAATTGTAAGGATATTAAAATGTTATATAATCATGGCTTTTATATAATATTTTTTACAATGGAGAAATAAGGGTACCGTTTGACCACTTAACCTCGCAGCTTGTTTTCCTTTTAGATCGCGTCTTGCTAATAAATTAGAAGTTCAGTCTTGATATGGATTCATTTTATAAATTCCTGTCCACTTTTGGTTTGTTACCTTTTCACGTGAAATAGCACAATTGGCTACTTGACAGTATAACAATAAGCTATGAAATATGTTTGAAATAGTAACTCATATGTATACAATAATTATGCAGTATTTTTTGTTTTAAAATAAATTGTAAGTATATTTTATTTTTGCAAACTTAACTTGTGATTTATATAATCAGAACTGACAAGAATTGAAACGTGGGCGGCCGAAACGCAACGTCTGTTGCAAGTGCAATCAGTGCTCATATTTATTGAAATGTGACGTCATGGCTTGAAATGTCACGTAGTGTATTTCGCGGGTTTTTGCTTTATTTAATAACGCTTTTTGCAGAAGAATAAATCTGATTGTGGTTTAATATGATCATATGAAAGTTTTAAAATACTTTCCGAAAACAGTCAAGTGTCCAATTATCGTGGTTTTTAGAGCTAGACGTTTCTATGTATGAGTCGCTCAGTGGCGTTGTGGATAAGCGTCGCAATCGTTGTTATTAAGCAACTTTCGCAAAGGTCGATCACGGGATGGGTGACCAAAATATCATTATCTCGAGCTACTCCGTGTCAGGGTCATGGCTCATCCTCCTTAACCATCTACAAGGAAGGTCTGAGTCCCTGCAGTCAGGACGTAAAAGGGCTGATGATGATTTCTATGTATAAAGTGCATTAAATAATGATATGCCTAAACAGTTATGTTATCCTTTGTTCAGACTGCAAAGTTAGTGTTAGACGAGTACTTCGAGAGTGCGGGCGCACTGGAGGCGATGGGCGCCGGGTCCGGGGACTTCTTCACGCTGTCGCAGCGGCCCGGCGCCGCGCTGCTGCTGCGGGATGATGACGAGCTCAACGGCGACGACGACGACGTGTTCCACGCGCAACAGGAACAAGGTGAGGTGACCACAAGTTAGTTATACTGTAACCAAAGGCGGCGGCATTGATGAGCGCGATCTCGTTCTCACGAGATATCGGCTTTTTTTTAGCGAGATTGGTCTCGGGTGAAAAATTGTCGTGAAAATCTCGCGAGTTTAACGAGATTGCACTTGATTATGGAAACTACTTATTCTTGGTGCGAGAGAAGTTTTACACTACACTTTTATAGTATTTGTGTTTTGAAAAGGGCCTTCTCGGTGACTGGTTCTGGCAAGCACAATAATAAGACAATTAGCTAACGATTCTTTAAACATTTTGTGCTTGTTAAGAAGCTACTTCAAAATTTTTCTTAAAAAAAAGCGTGACGTGAACTGAATTAAACCTTTAAATTGATTGGTATATTTTTTTATTTATTCTCTAATTTCTAACAGATCTATGAATACATATAGTTTTCCTTGACTGACTATAATCTTAGTTTAACAGTCGAGTCAACTTAGTTATGAGTTTTATTTTAGCTTTTGAATTCCTCTTATTAACAAAAGTTTTGTTTGATATTAGCAGAGAAGACCGGTTGTTTATTTAAGTTCGTATTCGACTGGATATGTCGAAGTTTACGTCTTAAAAGATTATGACCTGGATGACTGTGCTTAACTCTCCACTTTTTTGGTTAATGAAACCTAACTAAACCGATTTATCGTCTCTAAAAGCTCCTGCATACTAAATTTCATGAAAATCGTTGCAGCCGTTTCCGAGATACAGGAATAGCTCGTTTATAGATTTTAGATAAAAAATATAATTGCTTCAAACAATGTTAAATACATAAAACTTCATTGACCCCTTAAAATGAATGTTTATTATTTCATAATACCTATAATTGTTATTATTTTTCCTAATTTATTCAAATATTGTGATTGATTGAAACAATAAACATACAAAAGTGCCAATATCGCGATGACTCGTAATTGACGAGATCTCGCTCTAGCACCAATCTCGTAAGATTGCATTGCTTAGGTGGCACAATTAGACATAACAATGGGGCCCATAAAACATCACAAGAAAAGACAAGAGGTAGAGGTGTAGAAGAGTTTATTGAACCATGCTATTGCTGAGTTGTCTTATTGAACCATGTTTGAAGACTAAATAGATAAAACATGTTTATAATATTTGTAGTAAGATTTATTCTACATCATGAATAAGTTGTCTTACAGGTATGCAGTGATGCATGAGGTACATTGAAAGTTTAAAGTTTGAGCTTAAATATAATATTAATATTTTATTAAAGTTAAATTGTAGTAGCGATACTTTAAATTAAAATAATTAATGCTTTTAATGGCATGTAACGATGGTGAAGCATGAAGGTTTGGATTTATTTTTCTTTTTATTAAATAAATATATATTTCAAATAATTAAGATTAAATTAAGCGACTGACTGAAGCATGAATAGAACCTCCATATTAAGTTCATAATGTATTTCGTTAGGATGCTTAAAACTGTATTATCGTTTCAGATATGGTTTTTAAATCATTAGAGTATATATATCGACATTCAAGTGTATATTCATTTGTGTATATATCATCCATATACATATTTATTTTAAAAACATCGTGTTCTTTTCGGCAGACATTTTTTCAAAATTTTAACACATCATATTTCATAACACGGCCATTATTCGTACAATCACTATCTGCTAAAAAGAGATCACGGTTTAATGCCATTTAAACTTGTCGATTCTAAAATTTAATGTCTTTGTTACACAACAAACTTTGATGATTTTAGTTTCCAATTTGTTGGAACTGGATACTGCGTGAATATTTTAAACCAAACTAAAGAGCAATTTTTATTAAAATCTACTCATTGCTAATTATAAAAGATTTGAAACAATTTATACATTAATTGAAAATCTGATACATTTACCAGCAGCAAATCTAATGGCTGCTGTTAAAAACCAAAAGCCCTAGCACGACTCGATTTGATTTGAGGAAGATAAATCATTCTGCTACACATGTGGCAGAGAAATTATCTATTAGTCGATTGTACCGACTAATTATTGGTGTTTATATTTACGCCCATTAATTGATAAACGAGAAAGAAACTGTTTTGTGAAAATATTTATTTTCAATTTATCTTCATAATGTTTGTGATCTCGTAATAAAAAGAGAGATATAATGCATACATAACTATGGTATGCTGAATCTTCCATTCTTTAATTAAAAAAGTAATGCACGATGGATTTGCGAAATCTCGATTCTGATACGAAATATCAGAAACCGAAAGTTTAAATATCCATTAATGATCCGCTGGTAAAAAAATAGAGAAGCTACCTGCTTTGACAATAGCTAGGATTTTATAAATATTATTAATTTAATTCGCGTTGAGGATTATTACGTATAGAAATAAACAAACATCGCATAATTTAGTCTAAATGCAATAAAGAATAAATAAATAAATATGCGGCAGTTGTGATTGTCTCTGTTTGAAAGCCGGAATGACGTTGGTCTCGTTTGAGTGTGATTGGTCGAGTGCGCGGGTGGTGGAGTAACACGTGGGGGTTGTGTGCAGGGGAGGGGGAGGGGGAGTCGGCGCGACGCCGGCCGCGGTTCTCGCGCGCCGCCAGCACCGACAAGACTCAAGGTAACCTTACATTACGCCAGGGCTTACCAACCTATTCTGGTCCACGGATTCTTAGGGAATCGAGCACTATACCAAGTGAAATATAGCAATAAATTTCGAATCACCTATTTGTAAATTGTTCTATATTCTTTGAGGTCGTTGTTAGGAATAATAGTACTGTTTTTTTTAAACTATATGTATTTTGGGTTATGACAGCTTGACGTTTTAAGAACTCTGAATCTTTAGGATTCCGCGGGCCACGGGTTGGGAGACTCTACACTAAAGTAGGACCGGCGAAACGAGATATGTAAATAATCTTAACACTATAATAACATCTAAAAAACCGTTAAATCAAAATCAGATTAATATAATGCATGGAGACTCCTTTGTTTGTGACCAAGCGTACAATTACAGTCTTGTTTCAATAATCGTAAGGTGTAAAATATTTATTAATTAGCCGCGCTTCGAAATTTAGCCTTTGCAGATACGAGTATATCGATAAGCCACATTAGTTGTGTCTGTACCGAGTTACATAACAAAGTGGATCGCACGCCAGTTTTAAGGTGTTGCATATCTGAGATCCAGGATTAGATTCCCCTTTTAGTCAGCATAACGTAAATTAACTTTTCTATATGGTCTCGCACGGTATGGTTGTTTGTCTTTACATGCGGTTAGCTATTAATTTCTGTTTTTATTGGTAAATTAATGACCGGTCAATGAAAATGAGGAATAGAAATCCCGTAATACGAACCGTATCGACCAAAATAAAGATTATGAACATCAAGTCTATAAGCCGTTGATGCCATTTTCATAACAACTATTAATATACTATATGTAGTTTTATAATTTATACAGCTGGTTCGCTCTTCCGACGAATTATCTTCCTTGCATGTGATTGACGATCAAAATAATAGAATATAAAGTGTAGATTTGTGTATAATGTCTCGAAATAAAAATGTTTTGAACCCCTGAAACTTTGTATACATTCTTGATCTCATTTCGCCGGCCTTATGTTACACTCAGCATAGAAAAGTTTTACTAGACACTAAAGCATTTATAGGCCGTGTGACTATTTGGTTATTCGACAAGTCATTGAAGTAACACATTCAGAAAATTGAAGAAAAATTTGTATGAATTTTAGAATTTACATTATGTAGATTCCAATTCAGTGCGTCATATTAAAAAAAAAAATAAGTCTTAATTTATGTGCCTGTGGTAATCCTTGTAATACTAATTCACGAAATTATTACTATTTTTATAAAATCAAATTGTTACGAAGAATTAAACTATTCAATATATCGGACATACTACGATCGCCGATAGATGTTATTTTTTGCGTGTGTAAAGTTGCGCGCATATGCAGTATTTTTTATAAATCCGTATGAAAAAAGAGCAAAGATTTTTTTTAATGCTATTTTGAGGCATTCTATATCAATAAATATATATTTGTATAAATGAAATGTAATCTAATCTCAGTATTACAACGGAACACAATCTTTCTACACGGAGTAAATATTATTAACAGTTCATTTCCGTGTCTACACAAAGATTGTATACAAACTTGTGAATGTTGTACATTTTTAAATCTAAATCTATAGAGTTCGAAGAAATATATTTCTCATAGTTTCTCAACTTCAGTTGCTACTTTCGGTAGCAGAAAACAAGCAAAAAATTTGCTTTTACCTACAATAATTGCTTTTTCACGTCCCATTTGTGATTAAAAATATTTGTATAATACATACATACTTACTTTACTACAGAAATCACGTTGTAATAAATCATTTATTGTAATTTTCTACCATTATTAATATCACAGATATTTATAAAATAATATCATTCGTATCGTATAGTACGTATATCTTAATGTATAATATTTTTATTCTCATTGTTTCATTTAACAAGTACATTTCAAAATATAAAATGCAGAAGTCAGTCTTATTTAAAACAAAATATCTATGTGCTTGCGGCTGGATTTTAATTTCACTCGCTTTCTATTTTTCTACTACGCGAACACGAGTACGACGTGCTACGTGTCGACTTATACGCGATAGTCTTGAAACGCATGTGCACGAAGACGAGCTAAAATTACAACTGCTGCGGTGCAAAATTTTTAAATATTTCGAGGCTGTCTCGGGTAACGGATGTTCGAAAAAGAAAAACTTGGACCAATTCGCGGAGGTGAGTCTTTGACCGCCGCGCGGGCGCAGTCTCCATCGCTTTCGTGATGCTCGTTGAAATATTCGAATACACGTTGCGAAGTCTCGAGACAGTCTCGAGTGGGAGTGCCGCACCAGTGTGTGCCCGCGCGCTCGTCCGGCGTGGTGGTAACGTGCGCGGGTGTGTGCAGGTGGCGCCGGGTCGCGGCAGACGTACACGTACGAGACGCTGGTGCAGTACGCGGACTCGCCGCTGAGCAAGCTGCCGCCCGCGGGCCTGGCCGCCTTCCCGCCGGACCTGGCGCGC